TAGATATATATATATATACACATACACACACACATAACAAAATGTTTACTTCCCCCACCCCCACGTTTACGCACATATAATCGTAAATATGCAGAGCGCGAAAACGACAATTGCGCTACACACGTTACATATTGCCACGAACGTCGGAGTGAGAGTGTGGTGTGCAATATAGTGAAATGAAAAGTATAAAATTATACAGCAATGAATGCAGAATGGCACCGGCTATAGAGGACTACAAATCCCAGCAATAGTATATTATTCAGCCCAATGCAGAATATCAACAGCTATAGAGGAATACAAAAAATCCCAGCAATAGTACATTATAGCTGGCGGTATTCTGCATTGCACCACTGTATAATGTACTATTGCTGGGATTTGTTGTACTCCTCTATAGCTCGTGGAGATTAGTTGTTGCAGCCCTACTAAACTGATGAGCGGTAAAAGCTTTAAAAGCGTCGCCTATGGCCAATTTTGGGTAATGTAGTTTTTTGTAGGTTTTGCGCGCGTGCGCAATTTTAAGGCTTGACATGTTTGGTGTCTTTTTACCCGACGTGACCCCTGCCTTTTATATTTTACCAACAAATTGGGTAATAAATGTTTTAGAATTTAATATAGGAGAAACAGTTTTTTTAAAATTTTCTGTAATTTTTCCTTAATACTGTATATTAAACAATAAAAGTGCTGATTAGATACCACCAAAAGAAAGCTATATCTGTCCCCAAAAAAATGGTATAAAATGTATTTCAAGCAAATTTGTGAAGTCCTGCTTTAAAACATAACCCTTTACCTAACACATACATCTAAAATCACTACCAGACATATAACATTGAATGTCTCATTTTAACCATTAAACTTAGCCTTTCACACAAGCCACTGAGCTTGAGCAAAACTATAAATATATTAACCCCTTTGTGACTGACGACGTGTACGTCGCCAGCATCTGGGCTGTTTAAAACAGACTCCCGGCGGCTATTGCCGCCGGGACTCTGTTCAAACTTGTAAAGCCGACTGTCGGCTTTACAACAGAAGCGATTCTGGCGACTTACCTGTCGCCAGATCGCTTCTGTGTCCCGTAGAAGGGCCCCCCCCCACCAGACACCGCTGCCGTGCTTCCCGGGCTCCGTTGCCCCTCCTGGGGAGGAGGGCAACGAACTTCCGCTCATCGATCCCCCTCCCCGTTCTATGGGACCGGGAGCGATGCAGATTGCATCACTTCCGGTCCCTGGGCTGTCAGTTCTGGGCTCCTGCAGCCCAGCTATAAGCTATTGATATAGCTATAAGCACTTCAATAGCTTATTTCCGGTGTAAAGGTGACACTGGGGGTCTTTTGGACCCCCAGCATCACCTTAAAGAGTACCTGTCACCTGAAAAAAAATAGTTTTTTTAACTTAAAATAAATCTAATAATAATGTAAAAAAAAAATGTAAGTGTCCCCCCCCCCCGTGAGCACGCGCGTGGAAACGACGAACGCGCTGCACATGTCGGGTATCACCGCGCACGCCGGAGTGAGAGCAATAATTCTAGGGCCAGTATTTTGGGGTATCCAGTAACTTTCTGGGGTACTGCAGTTTTTCGCCGTTTCACGGACGCACGCAATTTGTAACCTGGGCATGTTGGGTATCGTTTTACTCGTTGTAACCTCATCTTTTATATTTCATTTAAAAAATTGGTATTTTGTTGTGTTTTGGGGCATTTAATTACATTTTTCACTAAATAAAAAAAAAAAAAAAAAAAAAAAAAAAAAGGAGTATCATGCCAAAATCTGCCAGTTTGAGATCTGAGCATGGAGCGCTCTTGTTCTTTGAATACCATGGCCTACTCTATTAGATCTCAGCTAACATGGATTAGTGGGTTTCAAGCTAACTTGGTACCA